ATATATATATATATATTTTTTTAAGGCATAAGCGTATATACTTTAAGTCAAATATTTAGAGCGGAAATTATTCCGCCGTGAGTTTCTTCCAATGACAATGTATCTCTTAACATTACACGATAGATACATTACGTCTTGCGACTTCGAAAAGTCCCGCACGAACTGGGATCAAAATCACTTGTTCCGTAGCTCCCCTTCGATTGACAATCGGCGAGAGGAAATCGTCGATAGTGGTGTCTTTATTCATGCGCCGCGACGCCGCCACCGCGACGAATAGGAGGAAGTTAAGTGGACGGGCAATTTCTCTGCGACAACAAATAGTAATGCGAATGGGAAAGGGCGGTGGCCACATGACGCGATTCCCATGTATCTCGCTGCAAGCCACGAGTCTTGGAGAGAGTCCTACGTTTGCGCATCCCTTCTTGTCTCCTCGGCAAACTTTTCGCCCGAAGCTATCGTTCTTTCGCCGATCAGGGTGCGATTGTATCTTCGCCTGCACGATTGCATAACAAAATAAACATCAACGCGTGACTAAAATTAACGTCGTGTCGAGCGACACGGAATAGCCCTTTCCATTCACGCGTTGTCGTTGACGAACACCACATGAATTAATTAGCGAAAAGTCTTCTAAAATCTGATTATGTAGCTCCAAAATCTAATTATCATCATACGCGAGAAATGGGATATGAAAGCGATAAACCCTCATCTACGACTAGGAAAATTACACCTAAATTCTAAAGTGTTCTATATTGAAGTGCAAAATGCAAGCAAAATTATATTGTAGGTAAAAGAAAGTTTACTTTCTTTTACCTACAATATAATTTAGAGCCTCATATTATCAATCATATATATAGATCATGCAACTATCTAAAATTTTTTTCGGGTACAAATAACAAAGGCAGATATAATATATCAATGAGAAGAATATAGGACTTCGCGGAATTATCCATAAGAAAGATCAAAAGAAAAGTGAATCTCAGCCTTGTAGCTGTAATTAATAAACGAGACGTTTGTTTTACAAGCGGACTACTAATAAAAGTATTCAACGGCATGAGTCGTCGCGCTCTGTTCTCTCCATCCACATCCTTTGTTTCTATTTCCATCTATGGACCACACCAGCCTCCAACCCCGCTGAACTCCGCAGTGTTCTCGCGTCGTTGTCCCTCTCGCGTTCGGCGGCTTTTCGTGTAGCGCGGATACACGCCTACAACGGCTAGAGGCAGCCGCGCTGGACGTAGGTACGTAGGGACCTAACGGACAGATCCGTGTTTCCATGGAAACCCACCTATCTGCGTCGGTTGGACCTATACTGCCTGCTGCCACCCTGATAAGCGGCTTACTCTCATGGTTCTCTCTACTCTTCTTCGCCGAAGCATCCCCCGACCCCCCTCCAACCACTCCATCTCCTCGACACTCTGCCCCCGACACCCCGTGTCTCCCGCCACCGAACCCCCTTTCGAGCGGTGGGTGAAAGAGAGCGAAATGGAGAAAGATGGAACGGGAAAGAGAGGCGAGGTGATGCTGCTTTCCACCGAATCGTGCCGCTAAAGGAAAGCGACGCGAAAGCTATCTTCGTCTATCTTTCTCTTCTCTTCCTCCTCCTCTCTCTCTCTCTCTCTCTCTCTCTCTCTCTCTCTCTCTCTCTCTCTTTCTGTCCTTGTTCTATTCTATACTCACGCTCTATCTTTCTCTCTCTCTTGCTTTTTCAGTAGTATATACACACCCTCATCTCCGCCTTCTTTCCGCGATCTCTTTTCGTCTACGCACATTCTGTGGCATACTGGAAAATTTATACAGTCAATTACCGACCCAGCAACACGACCTTCGAGAATGGAATATCACGAACACGAAGGGAATTCTCTCTCCAAAACCGTTGCTTCTTTCTGTTTGGCACGCTATGGTCCATCCTCCGAGATTTTCCATTCGCTAGGTGCTTAGGAAATGTCGATTCTCTGCAGGGGGACATTCCAAGCTTCGTTCAACCACGAAAGGCATAATGAGTAATCGCGATTGTTCTTGTTATCGAAGCTCTATCTCGTGCATCCGATGTCGCGAAAATGTTCCGCAATCCCGAAGCGAACAAAACACGCTTCCTCAATTGTCCATTACAAGAACAAAGTTCAAAAAAAACGTTGCTTATGTTTTGTAATAAACGTGTGTATTAACGAATGTATACAATTGTTTATATAACATTTGAATTTTTTATATTCATTCGGAAACTTAAAACTTGCAAGGGATATGCATTCTCGTGCGTGTTTTTCCAACTTGCTGCGGCTATAGTTAAGAAGCCCCGAGATTGCTCGACACATTCATATGGCTTCAGTCGATGCATCGATTTGCATGGCAATCAATAACGGTGAATATGACATCCATGTGAAATACTTTTACAGTGACAAATAGCAAAGTACTTAACATACTAATAAATCTGTTAATCCCTAAATTAATCTTTAAATAATCCACATATGAGCTAATAATGATAGTTTTTAATTCGCACGCAATACAAGGGAAAAAAGGGTTTGCAAATTGAGCAATGCTAGGGGCGTAATAGAACGTAAGGGAGACACAAAATAAAAAAGAGGGATTTATTTTATGTGTGTACAATAGACTTTAAAAGCTTTTCTTGCTGTTGAATGCGCTGTGAATATCAAATTGCTAGGTAATTTAGGTACATTACATTTCCTTCGTTTTAAAATATTTACTTCGAGTTACAATCTAATAAAAGAGAAATCAGGCTCGTTAAAATATTAAAATTTAATATATTTAAGAAAATAGAAAAATTTATTTCAAAAATAAAAATTTATCATTTCTGATTATATTAAAAGCAATTTGATAAATAGATACATATATTCAAAATTTGATATTTAGAATAAAAGAGGAATCAGATTCGTTAAAATATTAAAACTTAACAAATTCAAATATTAAGAATTAACAAATTTAAGAAAATAAAAAAATTTGTTCTAAAAATAAAAATTTATAATTTTTATATTTATTAAAAATGTAATAAATATATATTTTCAAAATTTGATTCAGAATTAATTGTGAATTAAGTGTGAATGTCGTTATAAACTTTATATAAATGCTTATAACTTTTTTACATCACAAATGATTTAAAATTTAATTAATTTATTTATTAATAACAATTTATTTCTTGCACATATAAAAATGTCCGAAAAATTAAATCAATCTATTAGGAAGCGGAAAAATTACAATTTTCAATGGAGCCTTCCCTTAAGCGCAAAGAGATTATCCGACGGCGTTTGTTGAATGAATGTGATGCAAAATCTGTCACACTGTTGTAACGCTGAGTCGCACAGATTAAACACTCGTCTTTTATTTCAATGGATTAGCTGGCTAGATCGATCACCATTGGAAACCTCGCTCATCTTTTCTCCGTTTCGCGATATTTCATAGTTCATTAACGCTTTTTTCCGCGAGAAGCATTTTCAGAACCGTATTAAACACGATACGGCTAATAACACAGATACCAAGAACGGTACGGCTGTCGCCACCTCACGATTACGTAAAAACTTTTCCGCATGCACATCAGTATCGAACCGTGCGAATCCCTTGCTACGACTCGAATACGTACTATACATTCGGTCTCATTATTGCCAATAACTGAGCCTACCGTTATTCTCGAGTAAGAACGTGCAGACAATTCTATTTCTTTTTTCAAGTAAAATATTTCTCGCAAGTAGGATATAGTATTTAAATTAATTACTACGAATGATTTGTTAAAAATTCAATATGCTTTATTCGATCTTAACTCCGATTCGAGAATTTTAATTAACCATTCTTGAAGTATTATATCTATGATTTGTGATTATTCCGATATCACTCCCAATTTTATATAATGTTGCATGCCGTAACCCATTGACCGTCATAAAATATCATGCATAGACTTTTACGCATCAGTTTCAGTTCAGTTGAGTTCAATTTTCGATGCCATGGGTATCAGAAAATATATACAGTGAGAGCAAAAAGTATTCGTATCAGGAAATTTTTTATAAAAAGTTTTATTTGTAAAAAATAAACATTAATTAGCAATTTTATACAATAAATATATTCTGTTTTAACAGCAATGTTTTAAGCAAATGAACTTCGCATATATACCTGATTTTAGAAGCTAAATTTCTCGATTACGAATATTTTTTGAGCATTCAAACAAGAATTTTTAATTTTCCCTTATTTTTCAGATGATATATTTTCTATAATTAATACACATCTTTTCGGTATATATAATTTTAAGAAACATACTCTATTTTATTCTTCATGAATAAATTAAATTGTTAATTACCCAGCAAGAAAAGATCGTTCAACACAAATTAAACGTCGAATTGACGTCGAATTTGTGTTGAAATCATCGTATCGATATCGATTCGACGTCAATTCGATGACTCATTTCTCGCTGGATAATATTTACTTTTTAAAAATAAAGTTTTTTTAAAAAATATTTTCTCTGTACGAATACTTTTTGCACTCACTGTATCTTACTTTTCAAATCAATCGCAAAGAAACACAGATTTTACCGTTGACTTAAATTTTACCGCGTAAAGTTTAATATCTTGTTGACAATTATTACCGTTTAATGAATAAGTTTATGATTATGGTAAAAGTTTGCAGTTAATCTTATCGAAAAAAAAATATAGATTTATGATTTTTAATTGTGATTAGATTTGTGTGTCTATAAAAGCTCCACCAATGTAGATTAACTTTAACTTGATTTAATTTATTTGTCATCCTTTTCCTAGTTCTAAAAATTAAAAAAAATAATTAAAAATTAAAAATCAAATTGCGATTAATATTAATCTACATTGATAGAAATAGACATTAGACACACGAATATAATCATAATTAAAAATTTAAATTTATTTTCGATAAGATTAATTTGTAAAGTTTTGATGGAACTGAGTCTAAGCAGCGAAATTTGAACTCGTCTTGAAAGAAGATAAGAGTTTACCTTGTGGGAATGCGGCTGCCAATCCATGCTCGAGCGCATGATGCGTATGAGCGTGTGGAGTGAGGGCGAAATGCGACGGCAAACCGGGATGTGCACCGGGATGCGGATGTGAGTGAGGATGCGGATGGGTGCCAACTCCCATCGGATGACCGTGTGGATGGTATTGATGAGGGTTTCCGGTCGAGGCGCAGGTTGCGCCCGCCGCTTTCAGGTAACCCGCCATATTCAGGCAGCCCGCAATACGAGAAACCAGTTCACCCGCCACCGCGCCGTTGTTATCACGCTCCCTTATCGCGTGACTCCCTTCGTTCTGGTTGCTCGGCCACCAGCTGTTCTCTACCCGATGAACAGCGCTGTTCGCGTATAATGATCGTCTTGCGCTGTCCTCCGATAGAAAGTCTTGGCGTGAAGTCTTGCGCTGTCCTCCGATAGGAGGTTTTGACGTGAAGTCTTGTGGCAATACACTGCCGTAATGATAATCTTCCTTTATCTGTAAAAGAATCAACGTTTAGTAAAATTTCACATGATTGTCGGCTTTTGCAATTTTAATTTTGTTAGCCGTAAGATAGCCGATTAATCGATTTTGTTAGCCGAAGTGATAATTAATTGAACTGATTTGTCATGAAAATTGCAGATAAAGAGCTCTAACAATCTTTCTTAACGCTTGGGAATAAAAAAAATAAAAGTAATAGAGTTCAACGTCTCAGATTTGAAAATTTTCTAAGTTTCCATGGATTTAAATTCTATCTAGACAGAAACTCATTGAAAATTATAAAACTATTCCAAAACTCTGAGGAGAGAAAATTTTAATTTTTGAAATATATGGAATAAAAGTGGAAAGTGAAAAACCATTGTGGTCTTTCATTTGTGCATGTCGTATTTTCATTAATAACACAAATCGTGTTTCCCTTAATACACATAATTTGATTTTTCTATCCTTTACTGCATAATCATTCTTGTCATTCTTGTTCAAGTTAATTTTCATCACATTTACAAGTAAACAATTATTATAAGTAATTTTGACGTACTTTAATATCTTTAGAAAACATATGTAAAATGTGTAATAAAAAAAAATATCATTATTCAATCAGGTGCTATTAGTATTTGAAAGAAAAAGATGCGCAGGACACGAGTGATCTAATCGTGTGTACTAAGGATTAATTCGAAAGTACAAAAAAGAGACCTTAATCCATCTTCCTTTCTTAATCCTATAGGAACAAGTGTTGCAAATTTGCAATGTTTACTTTAAAATTAAATTCAGGACAAATTCAGAGTAAATTCAAGATCTGTGCAAATTATACTTAAGAACTGATGTTGAAAATGTATGTAACATTGAACACTAAAGTACAGTATATTACTATCTACTTTTATTCACGAGAAATCTATACGTCGACATATACACACACACACACACACACACACACACACACACACACACACGCACGCACGCGCACACACATTATAAAAAATAAACTATTAATTTTAATTTAAAGACGTATAGAGGATTTTCTGAGTCATACAAAAATGTTAACAAAAATTTTAATACTTTTGCTTAGAAAATCTATTATACATCTTTTTTATTTTATTTTATTTAAGTTAAAATTTTAATTTTTTTACAATAAAGTCAAAAATTTTACTTCTTTTTCAAATTTTGAGAAATTATATAATATATTAATTTTTATAAAAATATGCTACTATCTTACACATGACATGTGTAGCTCCTTTTCATCCTTGTAGTATGGCGACATCACAATATATTATTTAACGTTAATGTAATTTAGTTAACGTTATATCTTCGGCAAAAATTTTGAAAGCAGTGGATCGATTCGGTGATATGTTCGAAAATAAATTTTCGAAAAATTTCGAAGTGTATATTGTGCCAATTGTTGAACAAAGAACTTTTTTTCTAAAAGGCAGAAAAATTGTAGAGATATTGCAAATAAATTAATGAACTATGAATAATGAATGAACAGTGAATTTGTTAAAAACTTGTTAAAAATAAGTATTATAGAGATTCGTATATACTAATTCGTTCGCGATACAAAAAGAAAAATTTTGAATAATTTTTTTCATTATTTATTTGCTTTATTTATATTTTTAGAGATAGCAAAAGAGACTTGCCGCTCAGTACAATTAACTCACAATCTGTAGATCCACGTTCAATCCCACCTAGACGGTTTTTCATGTTTAAGCCGAAAATTACTTTATCTGATGATTAAGAGATCTTTGATTATCAGTTCCGTTCCGATCCAACGTTTAACTGTAGATCCTATATATCCACTGATATTATAGTTGAACATTAAGCTAACAACCTAATTGCGAAAAAATCTATTGTTATTGAAATCTCATTAGAGATGCTACACGCAGGAGTTAAAAAAATGTATTATTACTATAACAAAAAAAGAAACAATCGAAACAATCAACATTCGTTGAAACTGTTCCAGCAACCTTATTCTGTAACTTTTAACGCAGGTTTCATTATCATTGTAACGTCATTGTAACAGCATTTTTATCATGATATTTAAATATGCTCGTTTAAACAGATTTAATATCTATATAGAGATTCCGTTTTTGAGATTACTTTTTAATAAAATAAAATCCTATCATCTATCAAATCCTATCAGCTATGTATAATATTGATGTTTTCCACACGTATTTATTTCGAGTAATTCTTGAAATTTTGTAAAATAATTTGTATCAATGTAAGAATTGCAGTTGTCTTATGAAACATCTATGACATGAATTACGCTAATCCTAATCGGAGGAGGGGAGTATCCAACAGAAACAATCCAATTTTTTTTAATCTAGTAGGAACGTATTTAAATGTATCTCATTCCAAAATGAAGAAGATAAAATAAATTTTTTTTAAATGGCGATTTTTGAAAATTTTATAAAATTAAAATTTTGAATTTTCCATAAATTTTTCATTATTGATAATCCGCGAAAAAAATATTGCACAAATCAGTTTAATTTTGATTTGAGATATACATTTTTATAAATAAAAAATTGATTGTCTATACTTCAGATGACTAGGATTGGTGCAATTCATATCGCAGGCATTTTATAACATGGTATACGATGCGCAACTCTTATAATAGCTGTATGTCCGATATTTATTGTGTATGTACGTAAAATCTATAGTGCATGTAATATATGCTAGAAAATATCGAAACACAACCAATATTGACGCACACCACTTCAAAAAATTTGAAGAATTACTTGAAGTACAAATAAATACGTAAAAAAAATCTCAATACTTTTTTTATTTTAATTCCTAAAAATCTCTCTCTCTCTTTCTCTCTCTCTCTCTCTCAGAATATATTTTAACTATTCATTTATCCAAAACGTATCATTTGCTAAAAGGAAACATTTTATTACGCAACGCTGATCTACCTTGTGAATTTGATGATGTATGATGTATTAATACGACAAAGCGTTGACATGAATATCCCAGGGAACTTTTTTTTCGTAGCTCGACTCATCAGATCTTGCCGCTAATTTTCTTTTTCTCTAATGTCCAAAATAGTATTCTATGTATCTTCGGTTAGATACAAGAAGGAGATACAACTAATGATTTAAGAAAGGAAATAAGGGGGTGTAACTTCAAGTAGATTGGTCCCTGTCGATCGACGTTAGCATCGGTGTTAACGAAATAATTTCGCACAAGTTGTTTAAAGAAAATGAAATCGAATACAGTCGATGAATCATGCCAACATCACTTTGACAAAATCACACTTAATATCTGTTCTCATATAATAATATTTAACATCTATCACTGTATTATGCACATCACTACGATCCTCACTGAGACACTGTTCTGCAGTTACTGATTTATTCCTTCACGCCTGGAACTACACATTCCGAATCTATAATTTTCTTTTATTCCGCTGTCTCTCAACTGTCACTTTTTTCTACCTGATACCAATAGAAGACAGGTTTCTGTTTTCTTGAAAAAGAAAACTGACTGGTGGTGGGGAGCGCATAAATGGCTAGTTTTGTCCAGTTTCGGAACACAAATGGAAACATCATGACGAATCCGAACTACGAAAAGGCTTATTAAATAATTTAATCATTAGGTTATAACCTTTACTTAAAACAAAGATGAGTGACATATGTAAATTATTTTGCAATAATTGTGAAGTCCGTGCGAATCGATCGTTTACGAAATTCGTTAAGAAAAAACAAAATCACATTAATCGACATTGATCAATATGTTAATATCACGGTTCAACATACATAATGATGAAAAAATACGACTGTTGGCTCGATTGGTTCGATTATCTCTTTACATAACATGAAACGCGGCGAAAAGTTGGAGTCTAAAGGTTTATTCTTTGTGATTAAACTAGTGTACTTAAAATGAAGTAGATAATTTGAAATTTAGCAAAAACAAGGTAGTGTTAGTGTATCTAATGAGCGACAAAGAGCAGATCTAACGTACTGTTAAATCGACGGTCACCGTCACGTGCTAAACCGGAAGTATCTGATGGAGTGGGGAGGAAGCGTGCCGAAAAGTCGGCTTTAGCCGCGTGAAACTTAACTCGGCGCTAAACGCTTAAATAAACTTCGAGATGCGTTTTTATCCGGCCGGGAAAGGGAGACGCGACGGGGAAAGGAACCGGGAGGCAGACGCGCCACGTAGGTAGGTATGTTTACACGGGGGCATTATGGCGGATAATGTTTGTTATAGGCGTCTATGCCGCGCAGCCGCGAGAGGCGAGACTATCCGACGTTAAAAGGCCAGCTTGGCCGATCCGCTTACGGCGGATGAGGCTTAAATTGAGTGAGAGATAGTGAACTCCCTGTGCAACGAGTACGACGCGCGAATGCCGCGTGCGGCTGTTGCACATGTCGTTGCGCATCGTCTGTTCGTTGATAATCTAAGCGACAACCCCGTGATAATTCTTATATAGATACTCGCGCTTATGCTAACAACAAGTAAGAGAGCGTTGCGATGTATTGTATGATAAGGTTTGGAGTCATATCCCCCGGCAAATTCTGCCGTAGATAGGTACGCATCTCTCTGGTTGGTGAGAGAGAAAATAACTTCACGCCTGCTGTCTTAGATGGAATTTACTTGATGCTTCAAACACTTCGAAATTGACTTTGATTGACCGATCAGAAAAATTTTATTAATTCTCAATCAAAGAAATCTCGATCATATTTAATATCTAAATTCAACAGCTATCATAACTTGTTTCATTCCTAGTTAGGCATAATTCAATTTTAAATACATGGATATTTATTGATTACTGGAACACAAGAGAAGTTTTACAAATCTATTCTATATATCGATTGCTTCAAAGTATTTGTAGCATCAAGTGCTTCAGTCTTCTATGAGTTGTAGATTAGGTTAATGCTACTGTTTCGATTTATCATATAACGCAATTTTAATAGATATAAAATTCAAGTCAGCACGCGATTGTAAATGAAATCTTTTAAATGTTTAAATTAAGGAAATGATAATTATTTGCAGAACATTTAATTGTA